ACTCTCAAGGAAACTGCTCCCACCACTCCCAAAGAGCCCTCACCCACCACTACCAAGGAGCCTACACCCACCACCCCTAAGGAGCCTGCACCCACCACTCCTAAGGAGCCTGTACCCACCACCACCAAGGAGCCTGCACCCACCACCCCCAAAGAGCCTGTTCCTACTACTCTCCAGGAAACTGCTCCCACCACTCCCAAAGAGCCCTCACCCACCACCTCTAAGGAGCCTGCACCCACCACCACCAAGGAGCCTATACCCACCACCCCTAAGGAGCCTGCACCCACTACTCCTGAGGGGCCTGCACCCACCACCCCCAAGGAGGCTGCACTCACGTCCCCTAAGGAGCCTGCACCCACCACCCCAAAGGAGCCTGCACCCACCACCCCCAAGGAGCCCACTGCCATCACCCCTAAAGAGCCTGCACCCACCACCTCTAAGGAGCCTGCACCCACCACCACCAAGGAACCTACACCCACCACCCCTAAGGAGCCTGCACCCACTACGCCTAAGGAGCCTGCGCCCACCACCCCGAAGGAGCCCGCACCCACGACCCCTAAGGAGCCCGCACCCACCACCCCCAAGGAACCCGCACCCACTACCCCTAAGGAGCCTGCGCCCACCACCCCAAAGGAGCCTGCACCCATGACCCCTAAGGAGCCCGCACCCACCACCCCTAAGGAGCCTGCACCTAGCACCACAAAGGAACCTGCTCTTACCACTTCCAAAAAGCCTCCTCCCACCCCCAAGAAGCCTGCTCCAACTTCTCCTGAGACACCTGCTCTAACCACCTCAGAGGCCTCTACTCCAACTACCACCATGGAGCTTCCCACTACTCCCAAGAATCTTGATGAATCAACTCCTGAGTTTCCTGCAAAACCCACACCAAAGACTCTTGAAAATATTCCTCAGGAGGCTGCTGTACCTACAACCAAGGCTCCTGAAGTGACCAAACCTGAAGTGACTACAACAGCTAAAGACAAGGTAACAGGAAAAGACATACATACTATACCTGAAACTACAACGGCTGTACAGAAAATTACAACAAAAGAGACAGCAACTACAACAGAAGAAAAGACCACTGAATCCAAAATAACAAGTACAATCAGGCCAGTAACATCTACAATTGAAGATACCACGACATCATCCAAAATTACTCCTAAAGCAACTACTCTTGCACCCAAAGTAATGACTGCCACAAAAAAGACAACTACAACCGAAGAGATTATGAGTAAACTGGAAGAAACAGCAGCGATACCAAAAGATACAGCTACTAGTTCTAAAGTGACAACTCTCAAACCTAAGAAGCCAACCAAAGCACCCAAAAAGCCCACTTCTACCAAAAAGCCAAGCAGAACACCTAAGAGAAAACCAAAGACTACACCAATTCCCCCAAAGATAACTACAACAACAATGCCCAGATCCAACCCTACCTCTTTAGCAGAAGCCATGCTGCAAACCACCACCAGCCCTAAGCAAACTCCTAACCCAGCAATAGTTGAAGTAATTCCAAAGAAGGAAGAGGCAGATGCTGCTGAAGGACAAAAACCTCCCATGATTCTCAGGCCCCATGTGTTAACTCCTATCGTTATTCCAGGCACTGATTTCTTAGTGAGAGGACCCAATCAAGGCATTGGCGTCAACCCCATGCTTCCAGGTAATAAGAATCAGTTACTTTCATTTTAAAAATTGGTAATGTTATCTTAAATCTATCTGAACTAACATGCCCTGATTTAGGATCACTCTATTGATATACATTGCCTAGAAGCCCGAACTTAACTTGTGAAGTTTTACAGCTTCGCTGTGGGTAAGCAGAGGAGTAATCACAATAAGCTTATTTGGTCTTTGGAAAATTGAATAATAACTTAGTGTCAGGAATTTAGCGCATCTGTGTCTGTAAGAAGAAGAGATGGTGCGTAGAATGTCAGAAACATCAGTTGGGAGTCTATCCTTAAAATACAATGCAAAGCAAAAATCTGCAATAGTATTTTCTTTTCCAAACCAATTCCCAAGGGCAATCAGAACTGAAAAGGAGTTTCATGTTGAGATCAAACAACCAATAATTGTCTAATTTACATGAAGATCAGGTAACCTGGCCCATTCCAATTCATAATTTATTTTTGTATGATACTTTTAAAATACTATCAGCTTTAAGTAAAAAAATTATGAAATATATCACTTCTTTGTCACTTCTGAAATACACATACCTCAAACTATACCCTTCAAGAGCTTACAAAAGGGTGAACAAAGGAAATGGAACCCCTGTGGGAGGATTTACAGAAGACATTCTTTTCTCATTTTGTTTTACATTGGTTTAATTTTTTGTCAAAATTTGTTTTAGATGAGACTAATTTATGCAACGGTAAGCCAGTAGATGGACTGACTACTTTGCGCAATGGGACATTAGTTGCATTTCGAGGTGAGCTATGCACACATTTCTTTTTCTGCCTGTCATTTTGTTCTTGGTATTTATGAGAACTGAAGCCATAGGAGAGTGGAAGTTCGGATTGAGCTTTCTGGAAAGGAACCTGATTGACGAACTTACCTCACACAATATTATGAGAACCTGAGAGTAAATACCAAAATATTGGATTAACAAAATTAGACACATTGTAACAAACAAAATAAATAGCTTGAACTGATACTACTAAGATTTTTCCTACTGTTAGGAATTAAAAGGTAGTTCAAATTTTAATTTCGTATCACATGAAATGACATCAGGATTTGCATTGCCTGCTCTATTTTATTTGAAAAGAACATCTTGATTGTGATGTGCTCAACAGTGTTATACTCTTTGTGGGAGAGGAATAGAACAGCCGTTATTTCATGTTAATTCTCTGCTGTACCATCTGCTAGTCTAGTCTTCTTCGATTTGGATTAAATTTGAACGGAAACAAATCACAGACTCCCACAGTAGAGGCTCAAGAGATTTTTGTAGTCATTTAACTCAATTCTAAAAGATAAAGAAATAGAGAGATAAGTGACTTTCTGTTACAAAGCCAGAAGGCTCTTTCTAGAGAAACTGGAAAACTAAAATATTTCAAATGTTATGCTAAATTTCAGACTTGAGAAATACCTACTCTCAGAAATGCTCAAATACTACCTTCTGTACTAGCACTCACAGTTCTGACTCAACTTCTAATCATACAATGCTTGTTAACACATTCAATCTGTTTTTATGATAAACTATTTCAATTTTCTTCTTCTTAGTTTCTTTTGGGACGTATGTTAGTATTCATTCAGCTTGTAGGCTGATCCATCACTTTCACTCTTAGGTCACTATTTCTGGACGCTAAGTCCATTCAGGCCACCATCTCCACCTCGCAGAATTACTGAAGTCTGGGGTATTCCCTCCCCCATTGATACTGTCTTTACTAGATGCAACTGTGAAGGAAAAACTTTCTTCTTTAAGGTAAGAGAAACATCTCTGTGAGAGAAATCAGCAAATAGTTATTTTATGTTTATTATGACAACATAAATTAGCTTAACCTCTCATTTTAGAATGGTCTCCGTATTTTAATGAATTATCCTATCACCAAAATTTAATAAAAAGTTAATTTGATAACACGAACGGTCGACTTATTCAAACACTTAACCAAGTTAAAACTTTCTCCCTATACTTAAATCTAAGAATAAGTTCCTAACCTTTTTTCCCCAAAACTGTTAACATCATTTTCTCTTTCAACATATCAGGATTCTCAGTACTGGCGTTTCACCAATGATGTAAAAGATGCAGGGTATCCCAAACAAATTTCAAAAGGATTTGGAGGACTAAATGGAAAAATAGTGGCAGCTCTCTCAATAGCTACATACAAGAACAGACCCGAATCTGTGTATTTTTTCAAGAGAGGTATGTGCTACATAATTGACAAAAATTACAAAACTTTTAAGAATTTGCCAGGGAAATTTTATTCAATATTCTCATTTATTATGAGGTTTACTGTCAGAAGATACCTTTAATGGCTAGAATCAAGTATTTTCAATGAAAAAATAAAAATTGAGGGCAGTAAGAACCCTTTAGATCTCATGACATACAAGTTACAATTTCTTCTGAGTTCTCAGGTCATTGATACAAAGAATGTCGTCATTTATATTCAAACAAAGTTAAATGTGTAACTATGCAATTTGTTGGCTTTATTCATTCAACAAGTATTTCAGGATTCAGTAATTATTTTTATAGTACGTACGCTTGACTAATAGCCATCATTAACGTCTGGACATATTTTATGAAAAATATGAAAAACAGTGATTGTTTCCTCCACCTTATAAAGGCTCTTTTCAATCGTTTTTTGGGGATTAAAATTAATTTTCATATTATATGTGATTTTCTAATATACAACAGGTGGCAGCATTCAGCAGTATATTTATAAACAGGAACCTGTCAAAAAGTGCACTGGAAGAAGGCCTGCTATAAATTATTCAGTGTATGGAGAAACGACACAGATTAGGAGACGTCGCTTTGAACGGGCTATAGGACCTTCTCAAACACACACCATCAGAATTCACTATTCACCCGTCAGAGTCACTTATCAAGACAAAGGTAATGTTTTTTACTGTTAAAAATTCTTACATATGAAGTAGATGTAATACAGTTTCTTGCAGATTAAGCCATATTAAATATAAATACTGACCAAATAGCCCTAATACTTTAAGCTTATTGATGCAAAACATCAATTTGCCTCAGTGAACTACCAAAGATCAACACTCTTTTTCTGTGGATAAGGAATGCACTTTATTCATGTTTGTTAATTTTAGTAAATACCATTTATCAAGTACCTCTCACCAAGAACATTATATACAAATCTGTAACCCTCGAATAATCCTAAAAGGCAGGTATTCATGCCATGTTTGAGAGGGCAAAAACCGAAGTTAAATATCTCACCCAAGGTAACAGAGCTACTAAGTGACCGAACTAGGATTAAAGCAGTTCTGTCTGACTAACAGCTGCTCTTTCCAACATAGTACATTGTCTTTCAATCTGAGATCTTTAAAGTGTCATCTACAGGTTTCCTCCATAATGAAGTTGAAGTGAGTACACTCTGGAGAGGACTTCCAAATATGGTTACTTCAGCTATATCACTGCCCAACATCAGAAAACCTGATGGCTACGATTACTATGCCTTTTCTAAGGGTAAGTTATCTTAAGTAAAATCTTAATAGTTTCCCAAAGATGAGATATAATATCTGCAATGTGAATATAATCAAAGCAAAAACACCAAGTGTTCAGTGGTGACTGAAGGTGAGAAGTTAAACTGTAACACTTACTCTAATTGTTCTGAAGAAGAGAAACTTTAGATTTTTGCTTTACTTTCAATTAAATTGAATAGATTGCAATTCAATTCTGCCCTATCCTTCACATGAGATTAAAAACCTATTATGATAAAACAATCAATTAATTGAGTAAAATTGCTACTGAAAACAATAGTTTATTTCTATTATCTGTGGTCTTTAATGGAGGCCTAGTTTGCCACAAAATTATACTGATCTGCATCAATACACAGTCTGTAAGACCAGAAAGAAGATCCAGAGAAACTAATTTTGTTAATTAAATTATACTATTTTTCCTTGAAAAATCCAGAAATCTAAGTTATTCTGTCTATGTAAATGACATCAGAATGTATTTTTTTAAAAGGATAAAACCCAAGTGAATTATTTTTTAAACTAACTTGTTTTTCTCAAATTCTTACTTTGAAAAAGGAGAGTTGAACCTAATTTTACTGAAAGATGGTGAAAGGTCAATCTGTCCAAGTAATTGTTTTTCTTTTTTTGTCTGAAAGTTCAAGTTAATTATTAATACAAACATTTCTGATATTAAAATGACAAACACTGAGTATAATAATCAATATAAACTATTTTTAAGTTCAAGTGTTTTATTTTCTTTTTAATTAAAAAAAATGATTTCTCTTCTATTTAGATCAATATTATAGCATCGATGTGCCTAGCAGAACAGCAAGAGCAATTACTACTCGTTCTGGGCAGACCTTATCCCAAGTCTGGTACAGCTGTCCTTAGACTGATGGGCAAAGGAAGAGTCGACTAATTAAAACGAAGAAAAGAATGATACATTTTGACACTGAAATACGTTTTATTAATAAAGAATGTTGAGATAAGCATACCAATTTAAATACAAAAATGTTTTTAAACTCGACAATCATTACACTAAAACAGATTTGACAATCTTATTCACAGTTATTGCAGTTTACAGAACATTTAACTAATATTTCCTCTATTTATTCCTCCTCTCCCTCCCATTGCATGGCTCACACCTGTAAGAGAAAAAAAAGAATTAAACAATGCATCTTTTAAGAAGTTAGCTCAAAACTAGAGTATTCATTTATCCTAGGTTATTATAAAAATTTTTCTCAATATCAAATATCTAGGCATGTAGATATAAAACTGTGCTATTTCACATCTTTAGTGGAAACTATTACAACAATTAGAAATATTTTTATGACATGAATGCAATTTCTAATAATTACATTAGAAATCAGAGATATTAAAATTTTACATTTTTTTACTTGCTAAACAAAGTCACAAAGCCTTATTCTACTGAATAAAAAGTATAATAACGACAGGCAGAGATGTAACAAATGACTATATAGCACTATAACACTTTAGTTTCTCCAAATCTTACTTTGAATTCAAGGAAGAAATGGAGAAATATATAAGCACATATTCATTGTATACCTATGGTATACAATTCCATCTGTAAGCTTATAGATTAGTAAACATCACATGCTCAATGTGTAATTATTTAATCAATCCTTGGAACATTTTTTTTTAAAAACTAGATACAAGTTGTAAGCTTAAGGACTAGAAAGTTTGTTCTATTTATTAGTATCTCACATCCTATCACGTACTCAATGTTAGAAATTTACCTCTCTGTCTGTTAAACTGACGACCACGAACACCTTGTCTCAATGTTGTCTGAAGTCTGACTCGTCTGAAAGGCTTTGGCTGATTACTGCTAGTATCTAAGAAGAAAAACATTAAGATATAAGAAAGCAAGTTAAAAAACAAGAAAGCAGTTATAATGGCAAAAACTAATTACTAAATGAATGCATGGATAAAATGAAGAGGTGTCTATTTGCTTTCAGTATTTAAAAGTTGTTTGTTTTTAAACAAGAGACATTTAACAAACAAAAAAGGGTAAAAAGGAAAAAAAAATTTATTTGAAAAAAAAGGTGCTTGACTTTTTTCATTCATTCACTCAACTAATTTAATAAATATTTATTTGGTGCCTAAGACACTGTGCTAGGGGTTGGGAAATACAATAGACAACAAAATATCACGTCCCTCAGGAAACAACAGTCCATTACAATATAACATGACTCACATCTGACTCTTCTCTTTTCTGGACACCCCAAATCCAATTATTAGCAAATCTTCCCAGCTCTAATTTAAATATATATCTTAAATTGACCTCTTTTCACAACCTTAACTCTATCATCCAGCCTAAAATACCATCATCTTTACCCTGAATTATTGCAACATCTTCCAAACTTTCTCCCTGTTGCTGCCCAATACTCATTTTCAGTCTCTTCTCTACACAGCAGCCAAACTGATACTGTTAAGTCTTTAAGTTAGATCATGTCACTACTCGATCTGAAGCCCTCCAAAAGCTTATATCCCGGAAAGCCAAAGCAATTCCAGTGATCTACCAGATCCATCCTCCCCAACCCCCATCCCATCTCCTGTGAGGCTCTCTCCGTCCTTGCTGGGCTGCGGCCGCACTGGGCTCCCTGCTGACCTTGGACACCACACGCTGCTGCCTTATGGACTTGGCATCTGCTATTTCTCTCGTCCTGGAACACTCTTCCCTCACGTCACTGTGTGGCTTCTCTCCCTTAGCTCTTTCACGCCTTCGCTTAAATGTCTCTTTCTTAGTAATGCTTTCTGTGAAATTGCCCAGCAGTCGAATATTTGTTGACCAAAGGAATAACTGCTCAGATGCGAAGGTTTAGTATTTTAGATTATCAAATAAACTTAAAGATATCTTAATTTCATATCATACTGTAAAAGGTAACAAGAACTATATTTTCTGATGCAAGCCCTGGTAAGATATAACTAGTATCCATTCTTCCGTTGAGGAAAGAATTCTCATGGGACATCAGAATATAACTGGGGGTACAGAAATTCAGTAAATGTATTATTAATAATTATGATAGGTAGAATTTTTTTCAGCCTTGTGTGTAAAGCATTGAGATGTATACTTTACATACATTCTTTCTTTTTTTTTTTAATGGTATTTTTTTTTTTTTTGTGAGGAAGATCAGCCCTGAGCTAACATCCATGCTAATCCTCCTCTTTTTGCTGAGGAAGACCGGCCCTGAGCCAACATCCATTGCCAATCCTCCTCCTTTTCTTTTTTTTCCCCCCCCCGAAGCCCCAGTAGATAGTTGTACGTCACAGTTGCACATCCTTCTAGTTGCTGTATGTGGGACACGGCCTCAGCATGGCCAGAGAAGTGGTGTGCCGGTGCGCGCCCAGGATCCAAACCCGGGCCGTCAGTAGCGGAGCGCGCGCACTTAACCACTAAGCCACAGGGCCGGCCCTACATACATTATTTCTAATCTTGACTGAAAGATTAGTTATCAATGTCCATACTTCATAATGAAATGTGCAGAGATTTAGTTACTAGCTGTTAAAAGGTGGATATGGGACTTAAATCTAGGGATGTTGGCTAAGAATTTGACATGTCATAGAAAAGCAGCTGAGAGGGAGAAGAAGAGATTTTGAGATAGCAAAGTTCCATGACTGAAAAAAGTAACAACTGAATAGATCTTCCATAAATCCTGAGAGTTCCAGGACAGTTTGAAAAGTACTGTTATAAAAAATTCAAAATGAAAATAATCAGAGTGGATGACTGAGTACTACTGTATTTCTTCAATAATAAGAGTAATTCCCTACCTAAAAATTGTGAGGTAGACAAGCTAGTATAGTGTTTAAAAGTGGAGTTTCTGGAGCCAAATTTCTCGAGTATGCATCCTGGCTTGCCCATAATTTACTAGCTATGTGACTTTGGAGAAGTTATTCAACCTTTCTGTGCCTCAGTTTCCATATCTATAAAATGGGGATAAGTCCTTACCACATTGGGTTGTGTGAAAATTAAATGAGTAAATAACATGTAAAGGGCTTAGAATACTGCCTGATACACAGTAAGTGCTCAATAAATGTTACTTATGTTTTAAAAAGTGATACAGAAATAATTTTTATTGTAGGAAAGGTACAAAAAATAGCCTTTTTCAAAGTTAACTTAAAAAGCTACACTTTGAAACTGTTTATATCAGTAAATTTCAAACATTTTTTTGAAGCAACAACCTCCCATCCCTCAACTCTCCGTATCAAATCTCAAGTAGAACAAATAAAAATGGAGCTGCTCTGGTTTCAACAGAGGCAGGAGACCTGAAGTAATACTCCTTAGCTTCCCTTCCAGTAATCCATCCCCCACAGCCCCTGGAGCACCTCTAATACAACCAATTTCCTTTAATATAAACCAAGTTCCCTTTAATATAATAAAATTTCCCTTTTAAATAAAGCATTTTAGGGGCCGGCCCTGTGGCTTAGTGGTTAAGTGTGCGTGCTCCACTACTGGCACCTCGGGTTGGGATCCCGGGCGCGCACCGACGCACCGCTTCTCTGGCCATGCTGAGGCCGTGTCCCACATGGCCTCATGGTCCCCGTGTGTTTTGCAAACAAGTTTGATGTATTGAAGTCAAGAGCAGGAACTTACCTACAGAAGAACTGGAAGGAGGATCCTGGCTGGTGGAAGGAAGGTCTGACTCATCAGATGCTTGAACAGGCTCTTCTTCCTGCTGGCTATCAATTTCCAGGCCTGCTTCAGAAGTAATACTAAGAAAGGAAAACAAAAATTGATTAGAAAATATCAAACTCATCCTAGAATGCATTCTAAATTATTCCCAAACTCTTTCTGATATAGTTTGACACTCAAATAACCTAGAGCTCCCATCCAATTCAAAATTGCAGCTTGATATTGGCAACCATATATTTTTTTTTTCAGGGACGGGGGAAAGACAGCTCAAGTTGCTTTCCTCACTCTGAGTTCTCACTAGGATATGTTCCGATTTAAGTTTTTGTTTTTCCTCTTCTTTTGTTCTTTTTGACAAAGGATATTCACATTCTTGACATTCACAAGAGATACATTATCCAGATTTTGATAAATCTCAGAAGAATTTTCTAGGAAAGCAGAGAACTAAAATAATTCACAACTATTAACGATACACTACTAACTCACCATGGGCTCTAGCCCAGATGAGACAGGCTGTGGGTATGTGAATTCCTGGTTCAATGGCTATAACTCCATCTCTCTTGCTCCCATTTAAGAAAGCACACCAAAAAGCAAGTGAGGAAGATAAGAGTACAAGAATAACTTGGATCTGCTCCAGTTTTTATCATTTGAAAACTTCAGTACAGTTATTAGTAACAATGCACCTGAAAGATCTCTCTCGAGATCTCTCTACGTGCTGAAGTTGGGAAGTGCCCGTGAAGTGTAAAGCACATCAGGCTGAAGTCAGGAGTCAAATCCAGTCTGAGCCAGTTACCAGTGGCATAGCTTAAGCAAGTTATTTTAACATGCTCTGAGTCTAAGCTTTCTCATTTGTAAAATGGAGACAATACTTTGCAGAGATATTGTGTGGGTTAGAAATGTCATATATAAAGTGACTTGCATATATGGTAGGAATTAATGGCAGCTAGTATTCTCAGTAGGGTCTGTAACCTCCAAAAAATTAAGTAGCGCTGTGTTAGAGCATAATAATAAACGTGCTTTTTTCCTCATATACTAGAGTTGGCCTATAGTTACACTAAGAAACACTGCTAAGTAAAACAAAATCTTTGAGCTTTACCTAGGAAATCTGAGTTCTATTTTGAGCTATACTTCTGACATGAAGTAGTCTTTTTATTTTATAAAGAATTAGGTTCCACCTTGACAGATAAACTTCTCCAAGACCACTGTCCAGTGGTTCTTTATACTAAATTATTCCACTTCCTTTGGCTTAAGAAAGATCCAGATGATCTATCACAAAATATTTCTTTTGTCAAATTTTGTTTATAACTAATGTGTTAAAAATGTAGTCAGGTCTTGAAAACTACTAGAAAATTTCTAATTTTTAAGAAGTCAGTTTTTCAGACACCAAGTTCTAAATGCACATAAATAAACAATAAGTGAGGTACACTTGAGAGCCCACTACTTAATGGAAAGTGAGTCATTTCCTAATATTCCTATTTTCAACAGAAAGACTTCTTTCTTGGGGAAAAGTTCAAGTAGCTACGTTAATGGAATGGTACCAATAATTTTAAAGAAATACTTTTTTTTTGACTACGACATGCAATTTTCAGGGAGATAACCATTTTTAACATTGTCTTCTGTAATAACAATCTTCAAGTCCTAAAACATATTACTCTATGCAAAAATTAGTCTTTCAATATGTATGGCTCCATTTACTTTTTAATAGGATCCTTTTGAAAATACAGCTCAACAAATTGTTTCCTGGCTAAAGGAAAACAAATGTAAAAGACTAACAAATCTAAAGCAAGCAAAAATTACAAAGTAAACATTTACCCTTCAGATTCTGCCTCCACAAATACTTCATCTCCATCATCACCTGTTGCTGTTTCATTTGTTGTGGATAAAGTGCCAGTGGATGTTGTCACCATTGGAACAGACTGAGAGGCATGCTCTGAAGCATCAGAGGTGGTACTCTCAGTAAATACGGTTACTTCAAAAAGAAAAGACCAAAAAAGCAATGAGAACTTTAA